ATAGCACAACCAGATAAAAGACGGACAAAAATCTTGATCAATTCTTTTCTCGAGAAAGGAAACGTATAGCTTACCTCCAGAACTTGCTGTTCAACTGTGCGTCCTTCTACTCCAGATCGCCCACCCAAGAATGCAAGATATCTCATGAGCATTTTTGTGGTCTCAGTTTTACCGGCACCACTTTCTCCACTAACCAGAATAGAATTGCTTTTTCCCTCATTAATCATTGCCCTAATTTTTTATGCAACTGCACATAGTAAGACTTGAAACAAAAATAAAAGAAACAAAAGAATGTTTACCAATGCATGAAAGACATTGATATCTAATCACCTGTAGGCAGCATCACCAACAGCAAAAACATGGGGACTTAGTTCTCCAAAAGTAGCTCCTTTATATTGTTCCATCATATGAGTGTCATAAAGATGAGGTAATCTTTGAAATGGATTAACTGCGATCAGGATATTGCCGGTGTACGTCTAAAACAGTAAATACATTAACATGGTAAGAAAAATCTTAAAGTTCTTCCTTTAGCATAAAAGTACCTTTAGCTTGTTGAGATATGTATGTATTAATATATATATATATATATATATATATATATATATATATATATATATATATACACACACACAAATATATGTACAAATAAAAGTATTGACTCACATAGATTTCATTAAGTTCATATCTTGTAGCCAAGTTTTGCAGAACTCCAGGTTCATGCAAATAGGAAAGTTTCGTCATGTCATCCACTCCACCAGGTGGAGCTTCAGTATCTTTGGGAAAAGCTTTTGATATATTTGTGACAACCTGCTCAAAGCAATCCAACCGAGTACGTTTACATATACACACCATAACCATCAAGTTTAGCTAATGGAAAAATCATACACTTAGTTTACACAGTTATGACCCAACATAATCAGGAATTAAGCATATTTGTGCAGATGAGCACTCAATTATAGTTGACAAATCTTAGCCATTAAAAATGGGAATAAGCCAAATTATGAAATGCATGGTTCCTTACTACTCTAGGCTGCGGAGGGTTGAAGACATGAAGTCCATGCTCAATATGCACTTTGACCACCTTTATCGATCACAGTGATATTTATCATTAGGAGTTCAGAGGCAAAAATGTGCAGACATTGACTTTAAACCCTCCATTATTTTATAATCCCTCAGCAATTCAGGCAAGTTATGACAAAATAATTTTCTTTATTGCATTAACTACATTATATTCCTATACTTCTAGATTCACTATCATCTACAATAACCAAAAGTCATCAATTTTTTCTCCTAAATTATGTGCGCTAGTAGCTTCGAAGCTACAAAATAAGCTCTCCTTTGCTCAAATTTCAACTCACGATTACTTACAATGTCAAATACAAGCCAACTCCATTAATAAAAATTATAATAAAAGAAAAAGATAAGGGAAAACTTACAGTTTTTCCATTAGTGGTTTTAACATGAAGCTCATTGCCATTGATACGAATAACTTCTCCATCAATCCATGCTAAACCAGGATCCTCAACCCATACATGAGAACCTATAATTATGTTATCTGGGCCGGCCTGAAAACAAAATTGCAGGATACAGCTAAGTAAACATCATATACAAAAGCATTAAACTACTAATTTAAGAATCAATTATAAATTTTCAAAAAGAGGAATCAGATGCATAAACTCAAACAACATGTAAACATGGGATATAAATCAAGCGTATAATTTCTAAGTTGCAATGACTAAGAAGAAGGGAAAATATAAGGTAAGCAAAGGATACTTAGAAGTCAGTTGAACCTAAATCTACAAAGGTTAAGAAGAACGCAAAATCTTAGTTGAGACAGGGTTATTGAAAGATGTTCATCAGTAAGCAACATTCTTTCAGAAATATCAGATATTAAACCAGGCGTCAACTGGTATAGAAGTACAAAGAAGCAAATAATAAATCATTAGTGGAGTAACTCTTACAAATAAATTATTCAACCTTTTACAATTACTTGTAACATGAAAACTAAAGTCATAGAATCAGCAATGTTGCTTCTAAGCTCTAACAGAAAGGTAACCCGTCTAAGACTACAATTGACTGAAACAACTTTAGCATGAATTGAATATATATATATATATATATATATATAAGTTAAGCTGATCTCTCATTCGTTTGCCTCTTTAAACCAATTATAGTACAAAAGCAATCGAAGTAACCACTCTATTAACTTGACAACACTACAAATAAATAAATAACATAATAAAATTAAAAGTTGCAAATATTCATCCCAGTAAGTTGCATCCTTCTATGCTCTGTTAACAAGCCCTACTTCCCTTCAAAATTTTGGACTTAACAAATTACCCACTTCCTCAAATTAGAACTGCATGCCAAGTCAAGTCAAGCAGGAAAAAAAGTCAAATTTCAAGTTTTACATATAGGCATATATATAGCACACGCCATAAATATAGGCATATAGCACACGCCATAATCTTATATGCCCAATAACATACAAGCAAAAAAAAAAACTAAAATTTGCTAAAAGAGCAACAGGAATATATTGAAGTGAACCGGTCCTTACCATTGAAAACAGCAAAGCAAAACCCCTGATCTTTCAGCTCACCAAATACGAACTCTATTAGAAAACCAACAACCCTAAATAAACTTTCAAACTTATGAATAAACCCCAGGAAAGCTTGCAAGACTATGTAATATTCAAATATTCCTCCCTCTTTAAACTATGGATTTTCCTTCTATTTCTTGTTTCCTCTTTTCTACTAAGAAAACACTTGTTTCAAAGAAAAATCCTCGTTCCAAACTTAGGGTAGTTTGCTTTTGAAACCAAAAAAAAAATGTTTTTTTTTCTAATTTTCAAAAAAAAATGATTGAATTTTTTTAGTTTCAGTTCTTTCTCTCTGAAACAAAGCTTTTTGGCGTTTCTGTGGTCAGCTGAGGATAGCCAGGGTGGGGACAAAGGGCGGGTCCCACAGACCAAACCTCCTTCTTCCTTCTCTCTTCCTCTGCACCGTGCTTTGAGGGTCCGTGTCTTTTTCCCTCTCTTTTTTTCCTTTTCCTTTCTTTTCTCGCAAACAGTCTTCAAGAATGAGACGCCATTAACAGCTTCAATATTTTGTATATAATGAAATCCAGGACGATCACTATTTAATACTGGAATTTCTTTTAATTGCTTTCCTACTAGATTTTGCCCATCCTTTCTGCCTTTTATAACCTGATTGCCACTCCCCACACGAAACATTCACCAAAATTATTATTTTATTCTACCAACTAACAATTGTGAACTTTATTATTCATAAGGACAAGAAAATAATAAAAGTGGTATTTATATTAATTTAATTCAATTTCATGGGCTAAATTTGAATCTAATGATGTAAAAATAATTGAATTTCATGATTGAAAAAAATGAGGAATCTTTTAGAAACAGGCCATGCTAATCCAAGGCATAAAGCTTTCGCCTTTTAGGGCTTTCCTAAAGACAAATTTAAACTCTAATTTAAAAGCTGGTGGACCAATCCAATTCTTCTCCCTTTTTCCTTATAAGCATAATTAATTTACTAATTAATATTGCTGATCAAACCGGAAGAAAAAAAAAACAAATTGTAATTTTTATGTTAAATAATGAATTGTACCAGACATTTTTAAATTATGGTTCACTTTTTAGATTGGTTTCTAAATTTTTAAATATTTCAATTGTATCCCTAAATTATGATTCTCATAAATTGATCCTAAACTTTTGAGTATTCCAAATTCATTTCTAAACTATGACTCTCATTGTAAATTAGTCTCTAAACTTTTAAACATTCTAATAGCATCTCCAAAATCATTCGAATCTTCGGAGACAAATTTAGAATGAGGGTAATAGCTTGAGTATGAGTTTAGAATGTTCAAAGTTTTGAGGATCAATTTAGAATGAGACATAGTTTGGGATGAAATTATAATATTCAAATTTGTAAGGACTAATTTAAAATAAAGGTCATAAATTAGGGATGTGAATGCAATTAACTCTAATTATTATTATTATTATTATTATGTAATCTCTTCAACATTTAAAATAAGCGTAAATCTCGACCTTCAAAAGATGTCAATCTACGTCGATATTAAAAATAATAATGTTAAATTTTTATTGTATTGTATGAAAATGTTGAAACAAGTGGCTCAAACGAAAGGGTATTCTCGTGATTATGTTAAAAGACGAGGGCCATTTACATTGATTCCGAAAATGTAAAGTGTAAATTAAATATTTTTAAAAAAAATAACTTTAATCATTATATTTAAAAAAATAAAATTAAAATAGAAAGGGAGGGAGGGAGGAGGAATATTATCCTTGGACCGAATATTATTGCCATTCCTCACATGTTCTACGGCAGCTACTGTCCAAAATTCGAGTCTGTCTTTAACTGGAGATGACCAAATCACTCTTAAACATATGCACATGTTCTATTAAACCTATAGAAGATACGAAGACTTTTCTGTCTTTTAACTTAAGGTTATCATTTTTTTATTAATTTATAGCAAGTAAAATACTTCTATAAATAATTTTCCACCATTTGATATTAAATCTCGTCCCTAATATTTTTTGTATTTAAAATCAAGATCTCAATGAATAACAATGATCTATTTTTACCACCGAGGTCATCTTACTCCAATGCAAAAGGTAACATGCGATGGGCAAGATGTTTAGTAGGCCAAAAAAATAAAATTTATGGAAATGTGGAATTTAGAAATTTGTTTAGGAATTTGAGGTGAAATATATTGCAATTGAAATATAAAATAAAAACTTCAAACAAAATAGGGATATTTTTACTCTAAAATGAAAGATTGATAGCCAATATGCTTTAATAAAAAGAATAACGGCCAAAGTGACTATTTAGTCAGTCAAACGTTAGGAGACTTTTTGCCTTAAATGAAATGTTGGAAGCCAAAATGTTCAAAAAAGAAAGGGAAAAAAATAAGAGCCAAAATAATCATTTTAATACGTTAGGGGTTAATTTTAGTAGGGATTCCAATGTTTTAAAGTCACAATATCAGTAATTTCATATTCTAGTAGTGTGTTACTAGTTCACAAGATTCCCCTACCATGGATATCATAACACAGTTCCGTTCTCGAAAGCTGTAATAATAGACTTTCAGTTTTGTACAAGCCTAGAGAGGACTACATCATTCACAACTGAACTTTCAATTATTCTCGAGGTTCCTAATATGTTTTTGCTTCTTTCCCATTTTTTTAGCCGGGCCCATTACAGGTTTAGTACTCTTGTCTCACCTTTTGTTTGAAGAAGCACCACCATAAGCAGAGGTAAATACACAGATGGTGGCAGCGAGAACTAGAAGATAAGAACTGCTGTTGTGATTATTACAGCAATTGTACATATCATTGCCTGCAAAATGTAATGACTAGAATCAGAAACCAACGATCATTTTTTGCAATTTCTTGAGTTACTTCCGGATTTGATCATTTCACCATATTCAGATAAGAGTTCCTATCTCGCATTGATATGTGTTTCAGCTAAAACAAGAGTACCGGGAAACTGTTACGAACCTTGAATGCAAATAACATTAATCTCTTATGTTAGCACTTACAGCTATTGCGGAGGCAGCAAGTCCAGCCCTCTCCCTAGGATCCCTTTGATAGTAGTTTCTGAAGTAGAGAATGGTAGCATAGTACCACATCAACGGGAAAACAAATCCTAGCAGAAGACTGCAAAAAAGAAAAAAGCAAGATATGTACAGGGGTCCATAAAACAATATAGGATGAGTTGGAGGAGGATGGCTGAGGGCAAAAGAACTCACGAAAACCATCCTATTCCACAGCCGAAGCAAGGAAGAGGTTTATCGTACATTCCCAGACGTGGATCTTCTGCATCTCCAATAAGTTCATATTCGCCGTTTTTGTGTTCTACCGGTTCTGTTGAGTGCCCTGAATTCACCAAATGCTTACCGAGTCAATGAAAATAATCAGAGGCTAAATAGAACACATTCATTGGTCTAATGGAGATGTCCGTAAGAAACATGGCAGATAACATGGTTTGAACTTCTAGATAGAGCAACATGCAGAACCAAAACTATTTTGACCCTGAACAGATATTCAAAATTTCAAACTTCTATAAAACCACCGACATTGGGTAACCATCAGTGCTCCTATCAACCATTCATGTGCATGCAAAAACAGGTACGTAATATTGCATGAGCAGGACCATAACCTTTTACGATGCATGATCACCAATCCAACTGTTTAATCTTATAAATCGTGATAATTTTGTGCTCCTTTAACAATTGCTTACCAAAAATACTTTTTGATGCATGAGCAGCACTTGTATGTATATTCATCCAAGAAAGAAAAATCCCAGCCAGTAAAATCGAATCCCACTAAACCAAGCCCATACAGGCACTTCGACTCAAACTTTCTAAAAGTAATAGCAATGATATTGTCAAAGGAACAGTTTCCAGATAGTTCAAGGCTTTACTTGAATAGTCAATCGTAACAGTTATTAGTGCAAAAAAAAAAAAAGGACTTGAGATTTTTAAACTTCAAGTAGCACATTAAATATGCTTCTGATTTAATCACCCAAAGAAGAACCAAAGTACTTAAAGGATATGGTCCCAATTAGCAAATATTATAGTGGATAAATTTGTACACATGCATAATACTACATACAGAAGATAAAATTCCATAAAACTTGGTTAACAATACAATTTCACAGCTGATAAGCAAGTTTTGGGCAAAGCACTGAACTGCTATATGCATAAAAAGAGATGTTGAAGGAATAAGATCAGTACTCTGATCCATGTATTCAGAAAATCCAAGTCTAACTGTTGGCGGTGTCTACTACTCACTCTGCCTTTGAAGGACCTCTCTGTTATGAACAAGGGAAGGAGATACAAAGTCCATTAGAAATATTTTGCTAAACCCCTAATACTGAATACTGATTTTGACCTGCGAAACTGCTAGTGCCTGTTTCTACTTCCCCAAAAGAACAATATTACAAAACCAAATTTCAAGAAAACATTCAACCAATCCTCACCCTTTTGCTCTTGAAAGAAATTGCAGCGACACATAAAAAGCACCAATTAAGAACATTTTTAATTATGCATAAAGAACATCTGATCAACTATACTCTCCTTTCTCAAAAGCAAAAGATTGGAGGAGGTAACAATCAATTTTTACTCGGAGGCTAAATTGAAAACATATATAGGCCCAAGGGAGATGCCAACATGAAAGAAAGCAGATGTTCATTGTTAAACTTGTAGTTAGAGTGAGATGCAGAACTGAAACTACTTTGAACCTCACACACATCCAAATTTTCAAGGTTTAACGAAAGCTCCGATATCGTCTACACAGCTGTGCTAATAAATTGGTTACATTCAGATGCATGCAATAAACAGGCTCATAATATTGCATAAGCAGGAGAGTAACTTTTTAAGATATGTGGTAATCGCTAGAAATCACGATATAACTTTTACTGGATATTAGTACAAATAAAAGAGACTACTGTGATTTATAACCTTTAAGTAGAAAAGTAAAGACGCTTCTGATTTAACCACCCAAATAAGAGCCAAAGTACTTAAGGGATATGGTCCTAATTAGCCAATATTAGCGATGTGGAACCCAAGACCCGAGAAAACCCCAAATCTCCAAGTTAGCCAACCGGAAAGAAAGCATGATTTTAATGTAAAAACAAGAAGACGGTCTATCCTACCACATCTCTAATCAACTTGTGACTAACAACAACAGTATTCGGATAATTTCGCCCTAAGCCACCTCTAATCAATTTGTGATTACAGTAACGGTGACGGATCCCTACCACACCCCTAGATAACTTGTATCTAATAACATGAAAATGAGAAGATAACAAGGTTAATCGCTAAACCTTCTAAAATGAAGACCCATGGCCAAAGTTGGCTAAACTAAAATCCACATCCTAAGTATACTAGAAGAAATTAAACTCTCAAGTTTTATTTAGAAACATAAAATTACTTTAAATAACAAAAAGTCCTAAGCTACATAAACACTTAGATTGCTACTTGAACGATTAAATGAACATGCATAACACAAAATACAGAGAAGACATAGCTGGGAGAATTATACAATATTACAGCTAATAAGCAATTTTTTTGTCAAAGCACTGAACAGTCGGAGGGTTTCAAAGGAGTACGATCAGTACTTTGATCCATGCATGTATCCAAGCCTAACAGTCAGACAGTTGCCTCAGCTCCTCTCTCTGCCTTTGAAGGACCCGCTCTGTCAATGAACAGGAGAAGAATGCACTATATTAGCAGCTAAAATAGCCATTTGAATGATCTCACATTTAAAAAGATGCTAATATGGCAGTTCTGATAATTGAATTTTTTAGCTATGAATCTGCTAATACCTGGCTCTAATCCTCTAAAAGAAGAATCTCACAAAACCAAATTTCAAGAAAACTTAATTATACATAACTCTCCTTGCTTAAAAGCAAAGAAATGAAAGAGGTGGCAAATTTGGTAAAATCAATTTTATTCAATCCAAAGAAAAGAATTGTGAAATCCCTCAAAATAACGCCCCATAACCAATAATCCCACCAAAACACAAACCTTGGTTTCTAGAAAGACCAACTCCCGGAACCCTTAAAAACCCGCAAGATACAAAGCAAAACAATCATTCTACAAGAACAAAATCAGTAATTTGGCAATAAAAACAAATACCAGAGCAATTTGATTATGAAATTGCGAGAAAAGAGAGATGAAGAGTGAAACTTGCTTGCCTGTCAATCAAAGCGAGAGAGTCAAGGAGAAGAAATTCAATTTTAGAGAAGGGAAAAAGCAAAGCAAATCGAAGTCTGGTTGAGAATTGATTTTCTTTCCATTTTATCAGTGGGTCTTTATTGGTGTCAGCGTTACCGTATTCATCTTCCCCCATTAATTAATCAAATAAAAAACAGATGTTATCTATTAATGAAAAACAAATAAATAAAGAGTAAATTACACCAGATACAACTGAAGTTTAGGTAATGTATTGTTTATACCACTTAACTTTTAATTTCTCCAATTATAACACTAAACCTTGGTTTTAACTTCAATTATATCACTTGACCGTTAAAATCTGAACAGTGTATGACATAGACAAGATGATGTCCTTTTTGGCGACGATTGTTGATATCCAAAATAATATCATTTTAGATATTAAATTTTAGAGTGTATCAATTTTGCCACTAAACTTTTAAATAATTTTATGTCTTGCACTACATTTTTTTTATCGCCGCTCTCATCCAATCATCAGACGTCTTTCATGGCAAGATAGTTACTAAAATGTTCACATTTTACTCCTCAATCATCTTCTAGAATTGATTTTTCATGAAACACACTTAAATATACGAAATTAAACACTTTTGGTTAGTAAGATCTTTACATGAACTTGTTAAGACGATTATATGTTTGTTAGTTAAAATTTTATAAATTTATTATCTTTTAAAAAAATTAGAAATTTTGTTTCATTTAATATAAAATCACGAAATCTTCCCTAATCATGTTAATAGTTTATACAAGTTACGGGCTCTTTCCTTCTTATCATGTTATTATGTTATGGTTAAACGCATTAGCGGATCTAAAAATATTTTTTAACGTCAGCACACATATGTTAACAACATAAAATTTTAACACATATGTTAATAACATAAAATTTTTAAAAAGGATGTGTACAAATAAAATTTAGGGTGGATATCGTCTATAAAATAACTAATCGAAGAAAACTCAGACTTCAAGATAAACAATATCAATAAAATAAATAAATAATCAAAGAAAATTCAGATTTCAGTATCCACCCTCTCTAAATTGTGGCTCCTCCACTGGCTAAACGTTTGGTCGAGTCTTTTATTTTAGCTTTAAAGCTTGATTCCTCTCATTCTCTACTAGTATGATATATTGTCATATATAATTAATAATAGTTATGAATTTATGGAGAACAAGTGAACAACAACGAACAAAAGAAATTGAAGAATAAAAATTGAAGTGTATAACATTCGATTATAGAATATAAAGTATTTTTTTGTTAAATATATACTAATTTTATGTTCATAAAGATAAAACGAAATTAGGGAGTAATTTTTAGATTCATAAACCACTTATAATCATAATGACAAATAATGTAACAGCCTGTCATAAAGAGTAGTGATAAAAATATTGGTTCGTTTATATCAAAAAAAGAAAAAAAGAAGAAGAAAAGAATATAAAAATAATATTATTTTGATAATGTTTTAACTTCAAATCAAGTTATTTTAATGGTTAAAACAATAGTAATTAATTTTTGAAGTTATAAGCTTGAGCATGGTCCAGAGTTTTTAGAATAGATGCAATTAATTATGTCCGTTTCTTAATTATAATTTTGTGAAAATTTAACCCTTTGCGTTAGGATTTTTTTCTCTACTTTTGGCAGCCGCCGTTCGAGTATTTTGAATTGTCTCTGATTGTTTCAGTTTTCAAGTTTTGCTAAATTTCCAGTCTTGCTAAATTTCCAGTCTTGCTGGTTTTGTTTTGTTCTTCTAATGGGAGAGATAGAACAGGTTTCGGAGGACCTCAATTTAGGTGAGGAGGAGGAGAAGGCTTTGATTTTAGAGTAGCTGAACAATGTAATTCCCATCTCATTCGAAAATTGTTTTGTAAGTCAATTCCTTACGGGTAGCACGATCAATTTTCAGGCCATGATAACTACATTGGCAAATGTTTGGCACCCTATTGGAGGTATTTCGATTTCTGATTTAGGAGATGGTAGATTTTTGTTCCGGCTTTATCATGTGATTGATGTGGATAGATTAGAGACATACAGTCCTTGGTATTTTAGGGCTCATTTTCTAGTTCTGCATCGTCTGAAGAAATGGGAATATCTAATGTCAGTGGAGCTAAATCGTGTTGACTTCTGGATTTTAGCGAACGTCCTTCCTGTAACATCCTCAATACCGGGTTAGTGACTAAATTGTAAAGTCTCATAATTTGGTGATTTAAAATAGAATGATTGAATAGTATAAAGATTTATTTGTAAATTATTGTATGGAATTGAATTGAAAGGAAGAAGGAATAGAAGGGCAAAGAGGTCATTTACAAGGAAATAAGAAAAGAAGGGTTATATATGTATCCACGTGGGTTGAAGAGGGGAGAACACAAAGGCTTCTAGAGTTCTTTTCTTCTTCTTTCTTCCTTGTACGTGTAAAGCAAAACAAAGGTGAGTTTTCTGATTATTGAGCTTCTTGTTAAATTTAAGATTGAGTTTTGATTATTAGATGATAACTAAGCTTAAGGAAAGCTTAGGTTATCTTAAAATCAAAGGATGATGGAGTTAGAAGAGATTAAAGATTAGAGGTTCTTGAATGAAATCTTGGAATTGAGTTCATATCTAGAATTAGAAGTTAAATTTGACTTGTCACCAATCTAGTTAAGACATATTAAGGGTTAGAAGTGGAATTAAATCATGTTGCAAAGTTGGTATAATTCTTGAATTTCATAATGAGGATAGGATTTTGAGGTTTAAGATGAAATAAATGAGTATAGATTGGTTTAAGTATGTGTACTGGAGTTAAGAATATAAAAGGGGATGAAACATGAAAGATTTAAGCTGAAATGGATAAGTTTTCGGGTTCAAGAACTGAATTCTGGGCTGAGTGCATCGGTGCACATTCAACGTGTACCGATGCATCAAGAGAAAGTCCCAGAATTTGTTAAAGGTGCATCGATGCACATGGAGTGTGTAACAACCCCAACCTGTACCCGAATACGAGTTCGAGATGTCACATTACCTTTTTAAAACACATTTATTACAAAATAACGACATTTGGGCTTATATTAAGAAAATACGATAATATACATATATTAATACACAGTTACCAAAATACTCAGAGCATACACAACTTAACCCTCTAGATACATGTCAACATCCATTTACGTAGCAAAATGACCTACTGATTAAGTTGCTTCTGATCTGATAGTGTAGGAGTAATGATGTCAGCTGCTTATCCTGTCTCTTCTACTTATCGGATCCTACGCGTGAAACACTCACACGCTAAGTCATTGACTTAGTGAGGCAATGTAATAATAATAATAATAATAATAATAATAATAGCAAGGAACTGTAATGAAAATGTCATAATGATATGAAATGAAATGAAATCGTGTACTTAATCAATGTAGTTATATCACCATGATCCTTATCCGTAAGCATATTACATTAGCATTCATGAATTTGTATTTATAAGTTATTGGCTCATGCTACCATACGGAGAACCTAAGGTATATGAGTATTGTGAGGTTGTGCACTATGCTGTCACCACAGCTCGTATAAATTGCACCGAAGTGCCGCGTAGAAATTTGTCCCGAATGACCACGTAGAATTTGTCCCGAAGGACCACATATAAACTCCTTAAGAATCATATACATATACCAAAGATCAATTATGTGTCTCAAAAGACCTCACAAATGTTCCAAAGAATATATATATATCCCGAAGGACCACGTAGACCCTCTACCATTGGCATGCCAACTATACCTACAGTTCTCATCTACAGAACATGGGCTTTTACAATTCACATAATTTATATCGCATAGACATATCATTTCCATACCTTTATCACATAAACATTTCATTTTCCATACCTTTATCACATAATTCATATAATATGTATTCATGTCAAGTATCATAATATAAAATGTGATCATCAAATATTGAATCTAGACTTATCACAAGTCTATAACAGAATATAATACTATATTCATGCTATGCATATGCACTCAACTATATTTCCTTGTTTTTTCCTCGATCGACCTTACTTGTCGATTGTTCCAGAACTCGTTTAGGCTCAATATCTATATAGTAATTCATTGATATTTATTAGTATACTAATTAGTATATTCTAAACTATCCTTTCTTAGGCTAAAAGAAAAGCCATTTTCATCTCTAAATAAGGGTATGCATCGATGCACTCTACAGTGTATCGATGCACTCCTTAATGTGTGCATCGATGCACTACCTGTGCATCGGTACACAAATGTCATTCGACGTTTGTATTTAAGTGGGTGCATCGATGCACTACCTGTGCATCGATACACGGATAACATTCGATGTTTTCTTTTAAATTAATGCATCGATGCACTTCATGTGCATCGATACACCTAGCACTAATTTTCAGGATTTATCATTGATGCATCGGTGCACAATCGGTGCACAATGAATGTGCATCGATGCACATTGCTCAGAAATGCCATTTTAGCACGAAATTCTCTTCTTAGTCTACTTAACACTTTATATTTCCCTTCTTTTTATATATCTAACTTGCATACTCTTACTTAAACTCATTGTTATCCATTCCATACTTCTAAAACTTAGAAATCCAATTCTCCATATAGAATTTAAGAATCTAACCCAAATTCGAACATGTTCTAATTTGAATTCTAACACCTCCTACTTCTTTGTTAGCTTTATGACAAGTCAACACTCACTTCTAATTCTTATTATGAGCTTTAATCCAAGATTTCACTTTTCTACCTCATTTCTTTGATTCTTCATATTCTCCTTGTTAACTTCCTAAAAAGGCTACTTTTAAAGCCTTTTTCACTTAAGTTATTGTTTGTTTAAAAGCTCATTTTAATCATTTTAGGATCATGTAGTTGCATATAGTTGCATTTGTGGTGGTTGTGCTATTTTATTTCTTAGTGGTGTTGTTTGTGGGAAAGGTGCAGTTTGTCTATGGTGTGCAGGGAATAGCAAGAAAAAGGATTCTTTGGGAAGTAATGTTGCGGCATCACACGTTGTTAAAGCAAATTGAAATGTCTTGGCATTTCTGGCGCAGAAAAAGACAAAACGATATTTCTGCATAAGGACAGCTGGCACTGGACAGTTGTCTCCACACGTGAAAGACTGCT